AATTATTGGTAATTATTTGGCTATTAAAATCTTTAATTTTTGTGATTCATTAAAATATTTATGCATATTCTTGCTAGGAACTTTAATTGGACTTGCCACACTTGTGTAAGCTGGAACTAAGCTTTTTTTTTCTTTCTTTCATTAAAATTTGTCATTAAAGGACACTTGATAAAACTCTGCAAAGTAGGGTTTGAAATTTTTGTATTATTTTTATGAATCAATTATTTTTTATTAAGTAACGTTTATTATTATTAATTGAACTATTAATTACTATTATGGTAGAACTCAACCCCCTTGTTTCTTTTATTTTTTGACAACCCTACTTTTTCTTATTTAATAGAAATTTTTTTCCTTTACTTGTTTCTATACTTTTTATAAATTATTGTTATTAATTATTAATAATTCTTTTTATTGATAATAATAAATTTGACATTCATTTATAGGTTTAACAGTTCATCAGTTCATTATTGGAAGAAAAGAATTTTTGAAATATAAGCTATTAGAGCCGTAAAAACAATTTTATAATTTCTATTTTACAAATTTGAATCATTAATTATTATTTATAACTAGGCTTATTATTATTCATTACTGAGACTTCAAAACCTAATTAAGTTCTTTAATTTTTTTCTCATTAAAAATTTAAATCCGCTCTCTGAAATATCTTACCTCTCCCGCTCTCTCAGCCTCTCACTCTCTGATTCTCTCTCTCTCTTGCAGGAAAGTTTATTTTTGCATTAAGTTAGTTTGCGAACTTGTAGCTATAGCTACCTCATTTCTCTTTTTGTAGGAATATGATGTTCTTGCACCAATAGATGATGGTCATGGAGGTCCTCCTCCACCACTACCACCAGTTGCAGCTGGTGGTGGTCATGGAGGTCCACCACCACCACCAGGACATGTTGCTGGTGGTCATGGTCCTCCTTCACCACCACCACAACCACCACCAGTCGCACCGGTTGTAGCCGGCGGCCATGGAGGTCCTCCACCACCACCACCGCCAGTTTCTGGTGGTTTTGGAGGTCCTCCACCACCACCACCAGTTGCTGGTGGTCTTGGAGGTCCTCCACCACCACAAGTTGCTGGTGGTGATGGAGGTCCACCACCACCACCATTAGCTGGTGGTTTTGGAGGTGCTCCACTACCTCATGCACCTGTAGCCATAGGTGCTCTGCAGCAGCAGAGGCTGCTCGCCTGAGGCAACTCAGGAGCCTCAATAGGAAATTTGTAAGGTGTTACAATACTTTATTATGTATATAATCTCTTTCCATTTTAGTACATGAAATTACCCTGAGGACCAAGAGGCCGTGGTGCTAGTAGGGGCAGAAGTGGTGGAGGAAACGTTACAAAAAACTATAACTTTTATTAACTTAAACTTTTTAATATAAATAGTATTTTAAAAACAAAAGAGTCAATTATTTTACAGCGCAAAAAGCAAAATCTAAAATACAATAGTATAATGTTCAAAATGATGAATTGCTCAGCAAGGCAAAATGCTTTAATACTGTAGATTCCATCTTCCTATAATAATAGATACGTACATGTTAATAATACATCATGTACACTACTTACTGTGGCCATAGTTAATGACATAACCATTAAAAGAATGTAGATGTAACCTTGAACCATTACCTATTACAAAATACATAAGACACTCTGTAATCACACAATATACAATCTTGCTACATAATCCATTGCTAAGCATAATCTATTGCTAAGACTACAATAATGTGAAACCAATAAGGCTAAAAACTGTTGCCTCCTGCAGTGTGATAAAGTAAAGATCAACGACCTAGAACAAAAAGTTTAGCTACATGTAATAAAGAAATTAATTTAGTTACAATAGCCTTTAATTATATTGCAGTAATTGCACAATCCAATATCAAGTAAAAGTATTGCAGAATCATCAAATCCTTTCCAGCTGTCAATACCTGTAAAGCATAGTAACAGATACACATCAAAAGCAAGCAATGTAAACATACGGGCTAATAATAACAATAGTACAAACAGTAATGGTGAACAAACATCATTACCAATGACATCGAACTTTTGTATTTCTTGTAACTCCATTATACAACAAAATTTATGCATGATAATCATCAAACACTACAAGCACAATAAATGCTTCAATAATCCACTACATGTACACTATTCTAAACATATACATGTATATATGCATGATATACCTTATATTTGTCACAAACATACATTACAAGCCACCAACAAGATACAGTTGCTCACATAGAGGAACATCCCCTTCACATTTGAGTCTCATTCTAAGTCTGACCTCACTCTTTAGCACCACATTGTAGTCCTTGTGCCATGTAAGTACATGTACCTGTATAAATTATGAATGTGACATACATGTACTAACTAATAATGATATTGGTAGCATCTACAATGTTTCTGATTGGATAATACATATATGTGCATGCAAGTATTTTAGACATACATGTAATATTGCTTACTAATGCTATCCTCAGTTAATGAGAACATGCACATGTTACAACAATCATCAATAAAAGATGCGCAACATCAGCTGGCAAGCATTAACTTAGTAATCCGCACAGCATTGATGGCAGCATTAACATGCATTAAGATCATTATCTATTATAATATACAGAATCACTGCTTGAATAATACTACATGTATACTAACAAATTTTAATGTTACTCAAAAATTTTTAATGTCAGGACTTCAAAATTTTTCAGCAGAGCCCCGATCCATAAGTACCTGTTATTTGTAATAAACTTGTAGTACAAGCCACCAACAAGATCCAAATTTGATAATGACAGCTTCCACCCTTCCTAACCCTCTGTCCTACATAAATGATAGTCACACAAATTTGAATCAATGCTTAAGTCTAATGAACTGTAAACCTCATTCACACCCTCTGTAGTAACAAGTAATCAATATTCACTGTCATTTGTTATACCTTGATTAATCTCACTTCCTAAATGCAGTTAGATCTCTTCATACTGAGCAATACTGGGTGGATATGCACCAATGGTTTTGAGACACTCACACATCATTCACATTGCACAAGCAGTGAAATATAAGTCACATTAAACAACCAATGTTTTTAAAATGATGGACCTCCCATACACCATACCCACTTCCATCAACAATCAATGCTTAAGAAATATTAATAGAATTAACCGCTTGGAAATGATTAGTACCAACATGCTTCAAATACAAAGCAGGTGTATTAGTCAATATCAAGAGTGGATAATTATTTAGGGAGAGTGTCTAACCCGTCTATATTCTGTGATACCACAGCGCGTAAGTTTACATAGCATGGTTATTAGCACCAAGTAGCCATTCTTGCGTCCTTATACTGATTCCAAGTCAGAAAGCTGCAAATAAGAAAGAGCCAAACATTAGAAGAACATATTCCCGTCTGCTCCTGCTTGTTTCTCGCACTACATGATCCTCAGAGTGGAGATATAAGTCTTAAAGTTGCCTGTATGCTCCAAGTGCCATTTTATCAGCCACACCCATAAATTTGAAGATTACTGAGATTAACTCTGTGTACTTGCAAAAAACGGATGTAAACATACGCGCTGTGGTATCACAGAATAAAGGCAGGTTAGACACTCTCCCTAAATAATTATCCACTCTTGTCAATATGAATATATGATATTGCACATAATGTAATAATCTCTGTCTCAGTAGCCCACACATAATTTCTATACATTCTGGACTTATGTATGTAATCATGTATGCTTGAATATCTGGTTGCACTTAACGTACATTAAACAATTCTTCTTCAAAGTTTGGCATATTACTAACAATTGCTTGACGTAATTCGTATTGCTGAGAAATTGACCAAGTAATGAGATATGAATAGGCATAAAAAAACAGTTCCCATCACCAGGGACATCAAGAGTACTATTAGGAACTCTTTCATCTGACAATGGTGTCGTTGGACTACAAGGTAAGAATCTAGCAGCTGTGACAAACTTAAGGTTTAAAATCTCACACCACCTTCTTTGAAATTCTTCATTATCAGGGTAGTAAACATAATCCCTTTGTCTCCTTCTCACAATATCTGGGTTGGGGGGCTCTTCATAAGTAAAGATGATATCATCATCTTTTTTTGAATTACTTGTCGTTAATTTAATGCTTGACAGTTTTATAGATACAATCAGACTACTACCACAATGGTCATTTTTTACAACACACTTGGTTTTATCATCTTTTGGTTTACATATAATCATTGAGAGTTTTATTGATACAATCAGACTACTACAACTATCATCATCTTTGACATTAAATTTGGTTATTACGTCTTTAAAATTAATTGAAACAAATAATTTATCTTTTTTTGAGCGAGGCAATACCAAAGCACTATTGTCAGCACTACTGTCTACATCAACTTTTCTTTTTTTGGTGCCAGGCTTATTTATAAAACATTATCGTCACATATTTTACTAATTTTGGGGTGATTAGACTTGTGTAAATCATTACTCTTACATTTATTGCTACTAACGGTACTATTACTAGTACTTTGTACATGACTTACAGACACCTTGGCATTCTTACTACAAGGTTCACCATCATCAATTATACCAGTCATTCCGAAACTTACTTCTGAGGCGGTTAATTTTGTTAATGCACGGATTACTAACTTTAGCAGAGAGAGGATCAAATGATAATAAATGTAATCCAATTAATGTACGTACACAAGACAATGCAACATATGCCATACCATCCCCAAAAACATCAGTCGATAAATCAATAATGGCTGTATCTAGTGAGAGGCCATGACATTTAAGTATATTAATAGCATAAGAAAGTTTAAGGGAAAACTGTTTCCTATGAATATGCAAATTCTTAGATAGCATAAATCTAGATGTAACCCTTTCTATGTCACAAGGTACATCAATATGATCAAATTTGATTGATATACGTGTAGCATAAATACCCATTACTGTACCAATGGCACCATTAACTAATCCTACAGTCACATCAATATTACGTCTTAGCATTACTCTACAGCCTACTGCTAAAGACAATACAGTTTCTAAACAAGCTATTTTGCTTGGTTGATCTTTTAGTTTTTCAATATTTTTTCTTGTTTTTGTCAAAGTTTGCTGTGCTGCACTTTCATCAACAACATCAACACATGCCAAATCTATTTTCTCAGTTTCTAGACCTTCTAACATTAATTCATTGAATTTTTTGGCAGGCGTTTACCTTTGAAAATAGGCAAATTAGAGGATTTGTTCCTTCACTTTCCAATTCCTTATATTTTTCTTGTATCGAAACCTTTAATATGCAACTCTTAAGCGTATCAATAGTTTTCATCAGTCAGACAGCCATGCATAACAGAATCAAGCATCTTAAAGAAAGTTTTGTCTCCTTTCTGTCGCTCATTGATTGTTAGTTCATCACATTCTACTGTTTCTTTCCATATGTTAACTGCATTTGCTGCTCCAAGTCTAGTTTTTACTAGTTTGTTGCTAATTTTTTTTAAATACAGGCCTACCATTAACTGGTGGCAATTGTAAGAGGTCACCTATAAATAAAATATTTTTAGATCCAAACCATTCATCAGTACCGAATATATCTTCTAAGTGCATGTGTAAGTATGCCAGATTTAGATTGGATACCATAGATACCTCGTGTACTATTATAATTTTTAAATTTTTAAGTGTCATTTTTATCCTTTTCTGAGCTTCCTTACTAAATGCCCAATATCCAGCTGTCTTTCCCTCATGCTCTATTGGTAAATGAAATAATCTATGTATTGTTAGTCCGCCTACATTAAATGTGGATATACCTGTTGGTGCTACTATAGCACACAAAATTTCACCACTTTATGGATGCCATATGTCATCCACTACGCATTTTATTGCCTCTATCAAAAACGACTTACCAGTTTCACCTACACCACTAATAAACATCCTTAGCGGTTCGATATTATCTAATCTAAGTAGTCTTGAAAACTCATATTGTAACAAGTCTTCACGTTCTTTTTGACTTATAAGTTGGTTCTTAACTTAATCAAAAATTCTTTTTTGATCTACATTAAGCATTGCCTCTCTTTGCTCTAATGTTAAATTAGGTACATTTATATGCATGTCAGCTATATCAGCTACTGCTTCCATTATTTCACCCAGTAATTGAGGCTCATCATCTTCCTTGTTATCAGGAAGTTCTTCAGTAAAACCGGCTTTATTTCTTGCATCAACTATCTTCTTCCAATTACGCTCAGCTTCTAATAATTTCTGTAGTTGAAATGATTTTCAATGCCACGTATAGATGCTTCTTTTTGACGCCTAAAAACTTCTTCCATTGTTTCTCCTTCCATT